TATAATCCAATAATAATCTTTATTTAAAGATTTTTTATCTTGTGTTATTAATAAAGATTCTTTTTCTGTATCAGTTAAATTTGATAAACATACTAAACCACTAACAATAAGACGTCGATCAACAAGTACACATTGACAATAATTTATATATGAATATAGCATTGATTGTTTTAATAAGATTTCATTACGTACTAAATTAAAACGATAGATTTGTTTTGATTGCCAATAAACAAGATAAAGATCATCATCATGTGTTACAAGTGAAAATCGACCTATATTATTATTGCGTGGTAACATATAATAACCAGCTGATGTTAAACATGGATCGTTTACAATAGCGTTATCTATCGATGGAGTCTATGAAAAAAAAAAAATATTTATATATAAATAATTTTTATAATTATTTGAATAAATATGAAGATAAAGATTTGTTCTTTGAAATCGAAGTTTACATTTAGAATCTATTAGACAGTGTCATATACTATAACTTGAATATAAATAATAAATCTTCATAAGCAACTCTTGCCATCTATTTCATAAAGATAAAAAAGTTACGATGACCGATCTACTAATTTTAGATTGATATACAACTTCAAGTTTTATCATTGACAAAAAAAAAACAGAAAAATCGATGAAAATGTTTATTTGCAATATTTTCATGTCTTACGATAGGGATAATTAATGACTTGAAAAACTCTTCATCATCATAAATCCATAGAATGTATGTTGATCATATTCGCAATTGTATGCCTATTAGATATTAGTAACTTAGAATTATTGTTACATTCTTAGAACAACGATTCAATGAAGTTTTTTTGTCTAACAGAATCTGATCAAGAAAATAATAATCATTTTGATGAAAAAAAAATTTTCTAACTTACTCTTGAAAGTTGTGTTTTATCTTTTCCTGTTGTTGAAATTGATGATGCTAATTCATCATTAGATGTATTCATTTTAATAGTTTGTCCATTAGTAAATTCATCCGAATGTTGCATTCTCAATTTATATGTATGTAACATTTGTGTATCATTTTTATTTGATAATAATAACCATTGTCCTGTTGCTACAATTGGTTCACATTGATATGAAGGCACACTTTCACCAAGACATGTCCATGTTTCAGTTATTAAATCAAACATATCAACTGAACGACATGGACTTGATGTTGATGATGATGATGATGATGAATTTGTAATACCAAAAAATAATAAAACAAAATTTTGAAAAATAACACATGTATGTTGACCACGTGGATATGGTAAACATATAGAAGACATTTGCCATTTAAGTGTTGATAATGAAAACATCCATATATGATCACTTAATTCACCAGAACGTAATTGTCCACCAAACAAATACAATGTTGTATTTGTTGATACACATGATACATGAGAAAAAAGTTCTGGTAAACCACCAAGAAAACGCCAACGTTGTCGAAAAAAATCATAAGCATGTAAAAGACAATGTGAAGATGATAAATGACAGTCAGGTGATGGAGAACGATTATGATGATGATGAAAATTTAAAGAATAATCACAATGATTTGAATCAAGATGACTTTAAATAAAAAAAGAAAAGAAATCATTGAAATTATACACATAACAAATAGCGTAGTTTATATAATAGACTAATATATTTTTTTCTACAGGAAATTATTAATTATTATCTGATTTCCGCATTGTATACTAAATCAATAGAAAATGTTCTATTCAAACGAGTGATTGAAAAGTACTTAGACAAAATGTTCATTCATTTTTTTAGCTTACATTACGTTCCTACAAAAAGAAAACTCGGCTCATAACTCCTAAAATAAAAGTTCTAGAAAAATTTTGAATCCATATTCAAAATAAACACAAAATTCTGATTCTAACTCAATGTTTTCAAATTTCTATGCGCTTCTAAAAAAACAGACTACAAAAAGGAATAATTATTTTTCCATTATCCATTATAAGATTATAAGAAAAAAAATATTATCATAATTTTATTTTAACTAATATATGAATTCGCTAATTTTTTAAATTACACTTTGATAGAGTAAAGTTTTGTTTTTACAAGTAACAAAATTCTGTATAGCCTCTTATTAAACTACTATAAAAACTTATAAATCATAATTTATGAAGAATGATGAATTGAAACTTCTGATAAGATTTTCATATCAAATTAACAATAGACAGAAAAAATTTTCTTTGATCAAAGTTGATTAAATCCTATCTTCAAAAATTGTGAACTATAAGATTAAAACGTACACTACATATTTGAATACACTCGACAATTTTTTTAAATGAATTTATTCTTTATGATTTCTTTCTATTCATTTAAAAGACTATGTATATACACAATGAAAGATTTCTCAATTGATACAATAATAAAATGCTTAGAAAAATAAACAAAAATAATTTTATTATAACTGTTTTTTTGTCTGTACTATTTATTATTAATAAAAACTTGTAATTTAAATTCTTATTCTAATAAATTAAATTTTTCTATAGTAAACAACTTTTGAAATATTTATACAATAAAATATCATTTTTTATATTTTTAATTAAATTTCTTCACTTTTTTAGAATAATATATATATACTTTTTCTTTTATATTACATTTAAACATTCTCTCGGAAGTTTTTCAGTATTTACAGTTTAATATATCATAAGTACAAAGAAACATAAGTTTTTTAACCTTGAAACTTAAAACGATTTTTCTTATTGTTTTTGTCTAAAGAATCTTTCATATTCATTCATTCGTAAACGATTTAGTTCTAAGGCTATTATTCAACTAAATAGAAAATCTCTTGTTTTTCTTTTTTTTTCTTAAATCAATATACTTTTGATTTAAGACATGATTTGTTGTTGTTGTTGTTGTCGTTGTTGCTGTATCATTAATTTGTAATTGAGTAGAAAAGTTTTGATAAAATGCTACAATTGATTCATCAGGTTCTTTTGTATTTGTTGATTGTTCATTTTGATCTTGTTCATCATCATCATTTTCATCATCACTCGAAGGTAATTCAATCACAATTAAATGATATCTGATCTGAGTACTTGGTCTGAACAATAAAAAAAAACAAAAACAACGCACGTATTATATATAGAGAGAAAGAAAAAAGAAACGATAATAATGAAATACCTAATTGGACCAAGTAAATCTGGAATAAAATTATTTGAATAAAAATCTTTTAATGTACGTAAACAAGTTGTATATTTTTGTACTAATTTTTCATTACGCATTGAATTTGTAACAAAATCACTATCACTTATTGAATTTAAACGTATAAATTTAAATAAACTTTGAAAATATTGTTCACGTTCAATTGGACGATAATTAACCCATTGTACAATTGTTAAAAAAACATATTCTTCTTTAGGTATATCTAAATTATCATCAGATAAAACTTCCATTAATGTATGTTCATTTAAATGAACAAATAAATTTTTTTCATATAAACACATAAAATGATCAACTATATATTGTAATGTTGTACGACGTAAATTTTCTAATGAATATAATGTTGCTAATTGTTCAATTTGTATACAATTATATATATTCATTTGTAAATAAAGAAATTTAATAAGTAAATCAGTTAATTCTTTTATTGCTAACATAACACTTGCATTAAACATTTCAAATAAATTATCATATGTTATATCTGTATGACCTGTATAAATAAATTCAAGTATACGTTTCATTGTCCATGGTGTTATATCTTGTATACGAACATTGCCTTCTGTTGATTCACGAAAATTATATGAAAACATCGCACGAAAATATGGTGATGCAGCAGCTAATATTAAACGATGACAAGCAAATGGAACACCATCAACATATATAGTTACATCAGTAAATAAATCTGATAAACGAAATTGATTTATTGTTGAAAATAATGACGATGGATAATCAAAACAATTTATTGTATGACGTGATTGATGATGTTGTTCAATTTGATTTGTTGTTAATGATATTGGTATTGAATTTGATGGATGTGAATGTTTTCCGGGAGATGATATAATTTTATTTTTTGAAGTCGACATCTAAAAACGAAAGAATATTTCAAATATGAAATATGTGTTTTTTTTGTTTGAAATTCTGAAGCAAACCAAAAAAAATTAGTCTAGTCAAATACAAAAGAAGATTATAATTGGTTGAAATGATGCCATTTTTAACGAATTGATCAACATGCAAATAGCGACATCAACATAACAAGAGAGAGAGAACGAACAATAGCGACAATTTGATTTTTTTTTTTATATTCATCGATAGTAAAAATTCTTCATGATCATATTGCCAGCGGATAATTACTCTTTTTTTCTTTTATTTAATCACATTCTTTTTCTTTTCTTTAGGCAGAAAAAAAAATGTCGTAATATTTTTTTTTCTCATTATTCGATCTCCAACTACGAATGAATATTTTCAAGCATTTTTATTCAAAATAAAATAAAAACAAAAGTTTTTTTTATTCTATGAAAAATTCTCTCGAAATAAATAAAATTGATTGTTCTAACATTGTTTTTCATTTTGAATCAGTTATTATACACAAAAAAAAAAAAGAAAAGAATTTATTCCGTTTTTCTCGAATCCATTGATTCATTTACGTTCTGTACATAGAATGAGTCATCATAAAATTTTCTTCTTTCTTTTCTTATGTGTCTTGTATTCATTCATCGCCGTGTTTTGCTGTTTAACAACGTATATAAATCAAGTAAAAAGAATACAACAGACTCATACTTACTTTCCTCTGATCGTCTCAGTGATCAATAATACTGAACATCCAGGACGAGGTTTTGGCATTGCACTTCGCCATAAACTAAATCCTGCTTTCGCTCCACATCGGGGCGAAGAGAGAGGTCAATTTGTTAGCAGCGTCTCTGCGTTCGCGCTCAGACCGTTTAATAAAACAAAAAAAAAAAAAAGAAAAAAGAAAAGTCATTATTTTTTTTTTCTTGTCACTTCAAACTCGGCAGGAATTTTATTGATAAAATTTTTCAATCATTCTTTTGTTTAATATCATGACAACAAAACAAGATGTTAAACTAAATACAAAAAATAATATTAGTAGATCTTCTCCATTTCCACCAGCTTTATATCAAATACAATATCCAAATTGTCGTACAGGAATGTTTAGTCTTCGTGTACCATTTAAAAATTTTCATATGAATAATAATCAACAACAAATATCAACACATAGTTCTACTCCTAATGTTATACATCCAGAATATTTACATGTTAATCAACGTAAATTTTTCATTTTTTTTTTTTTTTGTTCGATTCATTCAATAGAATCTCTTTTAGTAAATCAACAAGAACTATCTATTGCTCGTCATTCATTACAACGAGATGCTCAAGTTCAATGTTCACTTGTATCTTTAGATAATCATGATAAAATAGATATACAAAGACAAAAAATATTTGTAACAAATTCATCTGATAGTGAGTATTTTAGTCCTCGTTATCGTGTTCAATTACAATTACGACCAATGCAACCAAATATTTATGAAGTATGGAATGTTGAAACTCCACCACCACCACCACCACGATCAATTCCGATAAATGAACCAATTAAACATCGAGAACCATCGATACGTATTCGTTCGCCACGTTTAGTTGATATAAAACCTATGAGTGATGATGAATCTGATTATGATGATCATATAGTCTATACTCATCGTCCACGAAGGACATATTTACCAGCAAACGTACGAATGGTATGCGTTAGACAAGACGCAAATACAATTTGTTATTAAAAAAAAATTTTTTACTCAATATCAAATTTCATTAATGAGCAACAGTTGTTGTTATTGTTATTAAAGAAACACACACACACACACACACACACAAAACATGAATATCTATCTAATAAGAAACATAATTTATTACAAAAAAAAAAAAGAAAATATCTAGTCTAATAAAATACATGACATTCTACCAATATCTTCAAGATATAAACGACACATAAGACGAGCATCAATTGATTCAATACCTACACATGTAAATTGAAGTCGATCATGATTCTAAATAAGATTATTTTTCAAATTTATTTTTTTTTTTCAAATTAAACTTACATTATAATGATTTAATTTAACACGAATAAGAAACATTTTTTCTTGTCCACATATACTCATTAATTTTTGATAAGCTTTATCTTCATCATCTTTAGATTTTCCATAGGGAAATTGTTCCGATGGACAACCAAATAATATTTCACTTTCTTTTTCAAAAAAACTAACCCATTGATAACCAGTTGAATCTGATAAAAGAATCTAATAAATAAATATATATGTAGAATATTCTCTTAAAATAAAAACCTATAACATACACTCGTCATATAAAGTAATTTAAAATCTTCATAATTTAAATCACATTTTGAACAATAATATGTTCCATCATTATTATCTTGTAATTTCTTTTTACAATCAAAACGAGTACAAGCCTATAAAAATAAGAGTTTTTTTTTTTTATTTTTTCAATATATAAAATATTATTATTTTACTTTATAAACAGGATCATGTCGTACAAATGTACATACAGCTTTAATTCGAAATATTTCACTATTAACAATTGATGACATATTTAATTCATATTCAGCTACTTGACTAAATGTTTTCCATGGAACTAATTTAATTAGAATGAACAAAAAAAAAAATAACTAAACAAAAATTTTTTTTTCTTGTTTTTCTTTTACTATTTTCATGTTTATTTGATTGAATAGTAAGATCTATCATATCAATATTCATTCCTTCTTCAAGATACCATTTACGAAGTTCATGAGCTATTGATAAATCAGGATCAATTTGTAATTGTGTACTAGCTAGTACAGATAATGTTCGTTCTTTAAATAAAGAATTTTTTTTTTGTTTTGATTTGTATAATTATATTTATAAATACCTCCATTGAAATCTTTTACACAAACACCTTTTAACATAATTACAGCTCGAATAGTTGATGATTGAAAATTTTCAGCCTGAAAATAAAAAACAAACATTTTCAATCGAAAGTTTTTTTTATGTTTGAATTTTTGACATACTATTCGATACCATAGTGTAACAGTTATTTGACCAGTTCGATCAAGAATAAGAATATCACGTTTTGTATAATCTTTATTTTGTTTACTTTTTCCATGAATAATATCATTGATACTCATTACTATACCAATAACATCTTAAAATTTAAAAAAAAAAACAAGAGGATTAAGAGTATCAGAAAGATTTTTTTGTTTTTTGACAAACCAATAAATGAATTCGTTTCTATATTTTGTATTTGATTAATTGGTATAAAATGTAAACGTTGCATTGGAATACTTGATATATTATCTAAACATCGTTCAATAATTGTTTCATTATTAAATGTCATTTCAAAATCATTATTAAAAGTATTAAATTGTTTATTAGCATATTTGATTTGAGCTTGTGTAATGTAATAAATCTAAAAATTAGAAGTTATTTTGTTTTTTCTTGAATTGAATTTAAAGAAAAAGAAAAAAATCTAACATTGCCAACAATAAGAATTGGTTCAAGTCGATCACAATCATCACCAAAACCAGTTGCACGTATTTCACTTGTTTCATCAATAAAATTACAATTAAATAAACGACCATCACCATTTAAATATGTACGAATTGGTGTTTTATTTGCAACACGAACTCGAATTGTCCATCTATGAAAATATTTTTATGTTTAGTTTTTTTGAAAATACTAATCAAATATTTTATTTTACCTATTTTGAAAAGGATTAAGTGTTTCAATTTTAAATAAACGATTATTTTTAATTGAATCAATATTTGTTATCGTTATTGTTGATGATGATGGAGGTGGAAGTACAGGCAATTCTTTGTTTATTGGAGCTATCGGATGTTTGAAAATCGAATCTAAACGATAGATAATATGTCATTATTTATTGAGGATGGAACTCGTCGAATTAGCCATGTTTGAAAATTTTGAATCCAACAGATTCTAGTTAAAGAAAAAAGTAACTTTGAATATAATTGATATTTACTAGTAACTTTTGGTTGTAGAACATCTTTAGTTGTTGATGTTGTTAAAGTATTATCTTCATTTAGATCAGCTGTCAATAATGAAATAGGATTTCCAATTCTATGTGTAGCTATATCCAAAATAGTTATTTGAAGAATTTGTAAAATCATTCTATTAGAATGAAAAAAATTTATTTCTTATAATTTATTTTTCTCTAGAAATACTTTGCTGTTTGTCCTTTAAGATCACTACGTAAATAACGATCAAGTCGAATAATAGAATATTCTTGTAATTGACCATTTGTTACTAAATCATTTAATTGTACAGTTAAAACACAAGCTGAAAAATTTTTAAAATAAATGTTAAATTTCTTTTTTTGTTTTTTTTTTTAGTAATCATCTATGTTTATTTTACAAGGTAAAAAATGTTTGCCATCAGAAAGAATAAGTCGATAACGTTGAGTTTTTTTATGTTGACTAGCTGTCATTGAAGATTCACTCACTGGTTTTGAATCCATTAATTTAATATTCTGAAATAGAATTTTTACAAGAAAAAAAAAAAAAATTTATATTTTTCGTCGATAATATTTTACCAGCACTTGTAAAATAGGCTGTTCACCACTACTACTATTCTTAGCAAAACGCTAGAAGAAATAAAAATATGATAATGCAAATAATCAAATGGAATATACCATTAAAGCGCCAGTTGTTAATTTTTGCATGATGATTTTTTTTTGTGAAATTTCAAAACAGTATTTCAAAATGGAAATCTAAAATAAAATATTTGTGTACACAACGTTGCTTATACGAGCAATCTATATAAGAACTAAGTTCTTCACAATTTAAAAAAAAGACAAGAAAATTATGTTTTTCTTTAATGAGAAATATAAATTTATACTTAGCAAACTCAAAAATAGCAAACACACGTGATGATCTTATCCTCTAATGCATTTACAGGAAGATAAACATCAGAGATAGAATAGATCCGTAACTTTTTTGGAACCGAACTGATTTCATCTCTAATAAACCATAGTTTATGTAACAAACATAAGCTTCAGTATAATATTACATACAAAGTTTAAGGATCTAGTATTCAAAATGTATATAGTACACTCTTTTTTTTCTCTGATCATCATGTAAAATGATGTGTATTTTAGAAGCAGCAGATATTCTGTATATTTAGTATTGGAAACATGGCTTTGTAACGGTTATATTCGTTTCGTACGAAAGAAAATAAATCAACTAATAGAAGATTATTGATTTATTTAAATGAAATTTTTTTAAAGAAAATATCAAATTGAATATATTTTAAAATTATGAAAATAAAAAATTAAATAATATTCAATAAAACATATTAGTTTTTAGATTAGCAAAAAAAACCCGCTCTAGTATTTAACGCCATCTATGTCGAACAAATTGTTGCGATTGAATGAATTGTAAATGTTTTTCTACTGCACGGTTTTTTTTTCTTCTTCAAATACAGATCAATCTTCTTTTGGATGATCAACATGAGACATTTTTCGGATTTTCCCGATGAAATTTTATGTAAAATATTTGAATATTTAAGTCCATTTGATGCACTTTATTCTTTTATTAATCTTAATATTCGTTTTAATCATTTATTAATTCCATTTAAACGATATATTGATTTAACTTATTTATCATATGAACAATTTATGAATTATATTAATATTATTTTACCTATAATAAGTCAAGATGAACAATTATATTTTATGAAATTAGGAAATGCACGAACTCCTGGTCAGATAGAATTATTTAATAGATTAATGAATGATAAAATTTATCGTAATTATTTTAATTATATTGATAAAATTCTTATTGAATCACCTCGTTTAAATGAATTAATTAATTTTGTTGAAAAATTTCTTTCATCTTTATCAAATTTAATATCACTTTCAATTACAATTGATAGTATACGTGATGAAGATTTTCAAAAATGGACACAATTAATTGTTCATTCTGTTCTTTCAATATCAACATTAATTAAACTTTCAATTGAAATGCCTACTGGACTTGTTCTTTCACGTTTATCAAATACAATTATGTTAAATTCATTAATTGATTTAACATTAAATGTTACACTTGTTACAGATTTACTTATTCTTATACAACGTATTCCAAATGTTGAAAATCTTTCAATACGTATTGGTTGGTGGACAAGTGGTGATCGAACTTTAGTTAAAATGCTTGATGAAATGCGTTTAAATAATAATAGAAAATCATTTTTAAATAATTTAAAAAGTTTTCATTTAACTATTGATTCAATATTAACATTTCAATTTGAACATCTTGAACAAGTATTATATAGAATTTTGAATAGTGAAACAACTTATAGTTTTTGTTTTATATTACGACATTGTTTAAATCATAATAGTGAATTAACACAATTCATTGATGGTCAACGATGGGAAAATTTATTATCATCATATTTATTATTAAATCAATTTGATTTATTTATTCGAATAACTGGATGTTTTTCAATTGAAGAAGAAAATTATAAAATAAATTCATTTAAATCTAAATATTTTCTTGAAAAAAAATGGTTTTTTTCTTATTTTAAATATTCATTGAGAGATAGTATTATATTTTATTCAATTCCATATAAAAATAAAGAATTATTTGATATATCAATAAATAATCATGAAATATTTAAAAATTTTCCTATTAATTATACATCAAATTTATTAATTGATCAAACAAATAATGGATCATATCAATTTAATTATTCAACATTTTATTTTATGTTAAAACATTTTCCTTCTCTTCAAGAATTACGTCTTATTCAATTTAATATGAATTTTTCGATAATTAATCCAATTCATATTCCATCATTACATACATTAAAAATTGAAAAAGAACGAAATGTAAATTTATCTAAACTACTTGAATTATTACCTTTAATAAATACATTATTTATACCTTATTTTGCTATTGATGATCGAAATAAATCATCAGAGTAAGTAAGACAACAATTAAAAAAAAAACAGTTTTTTTTTTTAAATTTTTTTGAAACTAATTTTTCTTTTTTTGTTTTTAATAGTGTTTATCAATATAATCGAATAAGTGAATTATCTTTAATTGATATTCCTGCAAACGATATTAATCAAATTCCATTATTTTTAAATCGATTTCCTAATTTACGTTTTCTTCATATTCATATATACAATCAACGTATGACCGATGAATATTTATTAATAAATTTGAATGAAATTATTCAAAAGTTTCATTCAATTATTTATTTGAAATTACAATTAGAAAAAGATGTTAATTCATCTGTTAATTGGAAAGAACAATGGAATGGTCGAGTAAAAATGTATTTCACCGATATCATCTTTGTTGGAGTACTTGTACATCTATGGTTTTGAACGGATATTATTTTCTTTTTTTGTTTTTTTTTTTGTCTTTTATATTATTACTCTGTTATTTTACCATTGTTTTTACTTCTTGCAATAAAGAATTTCATTGATTCGATATAGTAATCTAAATATCAACGATTGAAACAATAAAATGAGATAGTAGATTGCAAATTAAATAATAATATTAATTTTGAAAATTTTTCTCATTGAACATATTATTCGACAATGTAATTCTTACTATATATGAAATTTCTTATAAATTTTATCATATTTTCTGTTATATAGTTTTTCTCTATATTCTTCCTAGTAGAATGTTGACGTACATCTTTTGTTGTTAGTCTTTTCACAATTGTTCGATGACACAGAAACGATTCCTAGGGAGAATAATGTGTATCGATTGTCATTTGAGAAAACTAGACAAATATTATTATCGAATAGTTAATGCTAATCAATTGAAAAGCATTCGTGCATATAGACTTGTATATCTTATTGTTAATTTCTAATTTCATCACTATTTTTAAAATAGTTTCAATAAATAAGTTCATTATCAAGATTTTGATGAGAAAAAAAAAATTATTAATATTGTATTATAGAATAATTTTTCTATTCAGTCTTGTAGAATTCTTTTAAATATAAGATAATATATTATATTTGAACTTTTTATTGTTATAATACAAAAAGATATCATAGATTTATTTTATATATTTGAAACAATTCTCATTGACTTTTTGTTTTTAAAGTTTTACGATAGTAATTGACTTTAACAATATATATAGAATGGAAGTTTATTGTCTTTTTTTTTGCTATTTATCTTTTTTTTTTTTAACTTCTTATTTAATTAGCCTTCACAATTTAAGTTATATTTTATTACACAGTCACATATAATATAATATATGACATACAGTTTTTTTTTCTCGAGACAGATCGATAAATAATGTTGCCATTTATTTAAATGTAATATATGATTATCATAATTACATATAAATATTTGTTCTATATTTTACCATTTATTTAAAATAGATAAAATGAATGAAAATAAAGATTGATAATTCTAATTTGAATATATTTCAAAATAATATATTAACAATTATACGAATCATCATCATATCAATGCTTTACAACATTGTATGATAATGTATAATATAGGCGAAAGAAAAAACAAAATCTTCAGGGGTGGATTATTAACTTGAAAGATGACGGAAAAAAAAAACCATTTTCTCTTTCTCTCTTTATATATAAATATCATAAATGAGACTGTTGTGTTGCTCGTTGTTGTTGTTATGCATAAAATCATGCGAATCATTTCTGGTTGCTATTTTCATTGTTATTTTTGTGTTGTTGACTAGATGTTGATGGGATAGACGAAATGAAACGGATGTTTTATGCAAACTAACTATTGTTAAAATATAGACAAAAGAACAAAAAAAAGCCAAGGTAAGTGCTAAAGTGCTTGGTCAATTTATAATAATAGTCATAGAGGAAATATAAAGTAACATTGTATTTTTTTTTATGTTATTTTTATTATGTAATTATTTTGTTCAATCATAAAGATCTTTTTTTTTTTTGTGAAACAAAAATAAATATAAACTAGAATAACAATCGTACAAAAACTTTTTCAATTCAAAGAGAAAATGTATTGTTTTCTTTTCTTTTTTATCGTTATTTCGATTCAACGAGTTTACTGATAAATGGGTTTATTGTATTTTTTTTTTTTTTTATGGTCATTTATTAAGAAGAGAATAGTGAAGTATACTTTAGTAAACCAGATTATAGGTGCATTGTTTATACGAATAGAAGTATTTATTTCGTTAAGAAAATAATTTTGATATTATTTAGACTTTGTTAGTTAGTTATATATTGAAATAGTATGAATGTAGAAAATAAATAAAAATCATCTCTCTCTCTCAGATTTTGATACATTTCTTCTGGATTATAAAATACAAAGAATTATGGATGAAGATAAGTTTCTAGGATTCTCTAAATTTTGTTATTTTCTATTTTTATTTATGTATTGTTCATGAACAGGATATTGAGACTCATAGATTTTGATACCCTGCATCGTCGCAGTTGTAATATAATAGTCGTAGTGGTGTTGAGCATAATCTTTTTCAGGCATATATTATAGATTCATTTAATTTCCCGTCTTCTTTTCTAATCTTTGCTTTGGTTTTTTTCCTCGATTCTCTTTAGTTATAATGTTGCACATCAAGTTGATATGTGGGTGTATGTCTGCAAGCTTATCTAATGTAAACCGGTGAGTGGAACCAGTAGAAAATGTTCAATCGAAGATAAAATCTTAAATAAGAGAGAAAAAAGAGATTATAAAGAGAAAAGTAGATTAGTAGTGTAATCGGATCCTTGTAAACAGATGACAAGAAACAGACAAAAAGGAAGGACGTTGACTGAAGAGACAGTAGTAATGCTAAATGAAGAAAAAAAAAAAAGACACGTATATTCCCGCTTTCTTCTTATCTCTTGTTTTTTTTTTTCTTTGTTATTGTTGACACATTTTTATCCATTGATTGATGAATTTATAAAATAATGATTATCCAAAAAAAAATATTGTAAGAACTTTAGTATTTATGATTTTTAAAAAGTTGCTTTTTTTTTTTTTGTTATATTTATATCGTTGATAATCATTGAAAGAATTAAGAATTAAATTATAAATAGAATAAAAAAGACAACAAAATTATGACCAGTCTCATGTCAATGATTCAAGTTTATATTATTGTCTTTAACCAGAAAAAGAGACAGATGAAATTCTTTATCATATTCTGTTATTCTTGCTTTTTTTGAAGAATATGACTAAAAGCTCTATTGAACAGTCATTGATTGTTTGCCGAAAATATACGAGTGCTATCTTTCTGTCATTTCTTTTGTGTCCGTCGTTCGAACAATACGATTAAAAGAAATATAATTTCTAGGCGGTACGATTCTCATCGTATTGTCTAAATCTAGATCATATCTTGTAGAGAATCTAATTATCGCTTGTCTTAGCCACCATCATTTATTCGTTCATGTTGTTGATGTAAATGTTAACCCATTCTCTTACTTTTTCTTTTCCTTTTTTTGGTTTTATTTGAACAAAACAAAGAAACGCGTGCCCATATTCAAATATACAACAGGAATTTGATCTATCATGTTTTGCCTCATTCGTGTTCTTGTTCTCCGGTGACCAGACTGATTTTTTGTTGTCTATCAGCCTGTGCAAGTCATTGATCATAGTAAAAATATAGACTCATCGCATGTATGCTTGCCTTTCTATGTTGATTTAGTAAAAATACTGCTCTTGCACACTTAGCAATAGCGCAAAATCAACATTCGCTTTTCGCTGTTTTTCTCTTTTTCTTGCTTTGCTTAATGCAGAGGCGTGTATGTAAGCGCTCGCTCGTCGATTTCCTTTTTCCGATTAAAATCCTGCGCGTTACCCAACAAGCTTGCTTATTTTAACTGGTTTTGCCTATGTTCTTACTTTATTTATGTTTGTCGGTCGATCGTTTGGCCACCTTCGGCAAAGTTCTATTTCATCAACATAATTCAGCTTTTTTCTGTTAGAGCTTTATACGTATTCATATATAGAATATATACAACCAATGACAAGCAAGTGCATTGATTCTATTGAGTTGTATACATGAAAAGATCTTTATACGAGATGTTGTATGCTGTCCCAGAAAGATCGATCAGAACCGATGATGGCGCTAGATTGTATACATATATATATATATATGTATATCTATATATGCGCGTGTCTATGTGAGGAAAAAAAAAAGAAAAAAAAACAATGTTTACTCTATCGATATCTGTTCTTAATCTTCGATGCTCTTTTTCTCTCTATTTATAGATGATGTTTCGATACCATTACTGTCTTTGTTACCAATATGGTCTGAATGGTAAGATATATTCATATATCAATCTTTAACTAGGCAGGACATTTGAATCTATAAAATCAGAGAGAGATATAAATAATCAAATGTTTTCTGTTTTTTTTTGCTACCCTTTCATTTTTCTAGCTCATTGAATTATGATCAAGATTGAGTTTCTATATTTATATATGATCACTAAGATTGATGATGATATGCATATATAAGAAACTTATTATGGACGACGTCAGAGGTGACAACTGATTAGCTTAGTGGCGACGTAATATTATGTGCACATCATAACAGAATTAGTAGAAACAAATGGGATATTAATATTTCATTCTCAATGCAATATGTAGAAAGTCATAACAAATGTAGAAAGAGACGATCTTAATCTTAATTATCTTGTTTTCTGGATAACGGTTGTATATGCGAACCACGTATCTTAATTTTTTATGCCTCAATAACTAACAGAATGTGTAAATAACTAGATCCGTTTGATTTGTTAGTATTCTATTACAAAGGTTATTTATCAGAACAGCAACTCTTTGTCTTTCTATTGGTTGTTTTTGTAGAACCTAACTTGAAGTTTTTTCTACTATTATTTTTCTATATTATTTTAGTTATCGTTAGTTTTTTTCATCATCTTCATTGAGGAATTTATATCGAAAATATAATCGAAAAGATGAGAGAAAACGAACAATTGTGTTATATGAGAAGAAAACAGAAAGATAGTTATTTACCTCATTATTTTTATTCTTATAGACAAAAAAAAAAAAAACTAAGTGCGTCAAAAGATAAATAAGTATATAATGAGATCGATCATTAATTTTTTTTTTTTAGAAGCACTTTTTCTTTGTTCACTTCTTATAAAATGTTTGCGTACACGATCGATTCTCGTGACTTATACATGACTGACACATCTAAAACAAATCCCTCGATGATTCATTTGATAATTAAAATTAATATAAACATGAGTGAGTACTTTGAAGATTAATAATATGCTCATAATATTGTACAATAAGATTCTTTATTATTCATACTTGTTGACCTATTAAACTTGTTTTAATTAGTTTTTTTAATATGTACATTCAACGTAAGAAAAAAAAAAGTACTCTATTAGTACAGACGTATAGATCGAAGAAACAATTTTCATATTGATTCATTGAAAAATATATAATCTTATCGAAATCTTAATCTTGATGTGTCTACAGAAAGACATGTAATATTTTATTGCTATCAACATAAGTCTTTCTTATATAGCTCTATATATTGTTCATGAACATAAAAAAATGAGCTATGTGCATGTTATATTTCGTCTATAGTGAATTTACAATATGATATCATTAAAAAAAAAAAAAAGAATTTTAATTCGAAATAAGAACAATATAGATGTATTACGTTTGAATTGAAATTAAGCTGTTGATATTAATTAATTTAGCATCTCTAATTTGTTTTTGAAGATTTTCATCACACTAGAACAATATTTTTCGATAACTGTAAACTTTTCGGTTTGAACTATCCATAGCCTAGATATAGCTAATATGTATATTAGATTCGAAAAAACAAAATATTAATTTAATACAAACATCCTAATATTAATCAATTCTAATACAAAACATTACGCTTAATTTTAATACTAACACGTAAGTGTATTAGCATTTTTTTTTTCTTATAAAACACTAATGCTAATATAACACCACTAGTGTAAGATATTTGTAATAAAACAAGAAATAAAATTATTTTTTTCTTTTTTTTCTTTTGATGAAAAAAATATTTTTCTCTATTCATATAAATCGAAAGAAAAATATAAGGACCGTTATTTTGTCTAGCGATTATAGTAAGTATGATTGGTGACTATTTAATAACATCAAGGATTCTTATAATGTATTAATATTAATAATAAGAGTTGAGGAAAAAAAAGTAACTGTATAACAACAAATAATTATGTAACGAGTTTTATTTTTTAGATAAGTAATGATGATGGTAACAGATATTTTTATCTTTAATTTTTCTTTTTCTTACTATACTTTATATTGCTTCTGAGAATTGTTTTTTTTATTTATAGTACCTTGTTAAGATTAAGAAGTATAATAAATAGAAATCATAAAAAAATTATATCGAATATTGCTACTTATGTCAATAATCAGTGATTCTCTTTCTTTTCTTTTTGGTCAAAGAAATTAATCTTTAAACTATAATGATTTTAAAATTAATCTAGATAAAAAGATTTTTGTCTTTGTTTTTGATATCATCTCTTGGTTTTTTTTTTTTCTTCTATATGATGGATTCCTTAAGTACATTGCTTATTAACTAGACTAGTAGTACTTATATTAATTCTATTAGATGCATGCCTTTGATATAATATTCGATTGTCTACAGCTGTGATGATTTTCTATCTATATGTATCTTAGAGAAGTAATACCATCTAAATATTTTGATAATCTGTCGCTCTAAGGCCATAAATTGATGTTAATCAAGCAATCAGCAGAATTATACAATTGATAGTTATCAGTCCGTCTGCTATTACTTTCGCTATAATTCGTATTGTTGTGATTGATGCATGCAAAAAAAAAAGGAAAAACGCAACGACGCGCAAGACTCATGTGTTTGAGGAAGAAGGAAGAAACAGAGAGAACTAATCTTCACTATTTTCACTCTTTTTCGTTTCGAACTACCCTTTCTGTTTTCGACTATTATAGTCTTTTACCTTACCTTTTTTTCTCTCTCTTCTCTACCCTCTTTCGGTTCTTTTCGATTTAAAAAAAAAGGCATCTGTTTGTTTTCATAAGTAACTATTTTATGTTCTTTGATGTAATGTCACTGTCGATGATGTACCGTTCTTATCGATTGTTGAAATATTTTCCAATAACATATGATTCGATTCTTTCATTTAAAAGTGTACAGAGTAAGTTTTGATTATATTTTGCTAATTTATTCAAACCAATTATTTATAATATAATGTCCATGTTTATGTTGACGATGATGATGATAATAATAATAATAATAATAATGGCAATCATTTGCTACCTAGATATTTTGTTTTTATTTATTATTACTTGTTCCTGATTAGACAAGAAGAAAGGAGAAAGCAAAGAACAGTCAAATTACGTTTTAAATTTCATACCGGTGTTTTTTTGTCCTCATCTTTCCTTTCTAATTAGTATTGATTATATCAAAGAAAGCCTATCTCTAAACGCTACGCTTGGATGTGCGTGTATGTTTACATCTATAAATGGACATGCTTGCCATGAATGATATTATCTACTGTGATTGCTCATTCATAATTAATTGTAGCTAGTGACTATTTGAGTCAATTCTTTTACTAGATCAAGAAGATACACCATTAATTCACATGCGTCGGCGGATATTATTAAAACTTTTTGTTCTCTTTTTTTCTAATGTCATCATCATCTACATGAATTTTTAAGTGAGTATCTTATTCGTCTGTCTAGTGATGTCACCATTGTTTCATATGCAAAGAAAAGGTAGTGACAGTGATTTTGATGAGTGAAATAGTTTAATTTGAGATATGGCTATTCTTGATAAGAACAACTATAAATCGCCGAATCAATGTTTCGATGTTATATTAAAGGTGTGCAAATGCATACGTATACATATATGTATATATATATATATGGATGGAGAATGTGTGCATCAATAAGTTAGAAAGAAAGAGAGAGAGAAAAAAAGAAGTAAGTGCATTTTGTGCATGATGGATAGGAGAGTATTTGTTTTTAAAGCAAATTGACGTTAGTAGCTCGATAATGTGGCGATGAGATTGTATATATGTGGTTGCTCAGACGAGCAGTAGAAAAAGAAAAGAAAAAAAATTTTTTTTTGACAAAGAAAATTTAAGATCAATATGGAATATTGTTTGTACGGTGATGCATTTCTACGAACAATTATTACTTCTATTAAATTCGTCTATTATTTCTATGTTCTTCTTTTTTCTTGGTAAAATTTTGCGTGGATAACGTGTTTTTCAACAAATATGAGTTATAATTGTTAACGTGCCTTTTTATGTTTATTTAGAAGAAAAAAAAAAAAATAAAAGAAAAAAATATAACTTAATCTATTCAGTCAAGTAAATACTATTCGTTTCATTCTGTTAAAGAAAAACAAACTCGAGTTATGACATGTTCAGACTACATTTCGTTTGCAGTTCATTTGATAGTTTGTGCATGACGTTTATCATTATTATTCCTGGACCGGATGAGAATAAATAAATTCGATTGATATTTGTCTTTAGTGTTTTTTCTTCTTCTTCTTCTTCTTCTTCTTCTTTACCCCTTTCTATTCATATGAAGATTATCTCGAGCTTATAATATGTATCATCAAGTAAATTTGCTTTTCTTCGTTTTTAAATGATATTCTTTTTTCTTTTCGTCTTTTTAGACAACAAAACTTAATTTAACAACTGCGACATTATTTGTGTCGCTATAATCCTGTTCATTGTCGTGCGTGTTTTTTTTTGTTTTAATTTCACATGATTGTTTGCTTTCTCGGTGTTCATATTAACATCAGTCGATTGTTAACATTCGCCTGTTATCTAATTGTTTTTGTTATCGTTCAATTTAAACTGATGCTTGGTGTTCATGCAACTCGTGGTGTAATTAAAATTGTCCATTCATCATTGAACAATACATCAATATTTGAACAGGCTGATAATTTTACAAATTCAACACAAAATACAACAACTGATTGTGTAGCTGAAGAAATCGATATAACTTTGCCTTATTTTTCATTACCTTATCGAATACTTGCTGGTGCACTTGTTGTTCCAATTACAATTTGTGCTATATCGGGCAATATTCTTGTTATTTATGTTATTAAACATTATCATTCATTACGTATAACAGGTAATGTTTTTCTTGCTTCACTTGCTGTTGCTGATGTTGGTGTTAGTACATTAGCAATGACATTCTATGGATTACAATTAATTCAAGGAAGATGGATACTTGGACCGGTAAGACAATTAAATACTATTATTATTGGTTAGTTGGAATATAATATTGATTAGATGATTGATATTGAATTTGTTTTTTTTCTTTTTCTTGAATGTATAAAAATGAAGACCTTAAGCTAAATTGGTTTTACAAATGAAATATTTGTCGTTTTATTTACTATGCATAAGTATGTGCATCAATGAAGCAAGCTGAGTGTTGCTCTTTTCATCGTCTTGAAAAGAAATAGTCAATAATAAACGTTTTTTTTCCTTTTTTACTATGAAGCCTAAAGGCTGTTTTTACTTCTGGTTATATAATTTTCTTACCAATATGTATTTTAAATATCGATATTGAGACAAAAAACAATTTTTCACATGCTGCTATTAGACATATTCATGAAGTTCAATACATTAAAAGAAAACCTAGTAGAACTAAAATTTCTTTTTAATTTTCATGATTCTTATAATAGTAATTGGAAGTATAAAAAGGTTATAATGACCTTTATATCATGTGTGTAATTTGACTAAACTTATGGACGAATCAATTTTTTTTTCTCTATTTTATTCATTAAGCATTTCTTCTATAGATTTAATGAAAAGAGTCTGAGAAGTTTTACTCATATTTCAACACATGTCTAACTATATTTATAAGTTATGCCTTTAATAAAAAGAGAAAAAAAATAAAATATGTAATACTTGGCATGTTATTTTTTCTTTTGCTTCACTAAATCATTAATTTTCAAAAAAATAAAATAATTAAATATTTATATTTATTTCTAAAGATGATATAAGAAATGATTATTTTAAATTTGAATTTTTATTTTATAGTTTATGTGTCGTTTATGGTTTTCATGTGATGTTCTTTTTTCAACAGCATCAATTATGCATTTAGCTTGTATAGCATTAGATCGTTATTTATCTATAGTACGTCCATTTGAACATGAACGTACATCATCAGAACGACGTCGTTATGGTATGATAGCTGGTTGTTGGTTTGGATCAGCTTTATTATCATTTATACCAATATTTACTGGTATATATACAACAAGTGAACAACGAGAAAAAATAAATTGTTTAAATCGTGTTCGTGGTCGTTGTATATTTGCTGTTAATCAAGTATATGCTATAGTATCATCATCATTTTCATTTTGGGTACCAAGTGCTATTATGGTTATTATGTATGTTATGTTAATAAGAATAGCTGATAGAAAAGAAAAAGAAGCATATCAAATGATGGATGGTGTTACTCAACGTCGTCGTCTTTCACAAAATTATTATTTTACTCATCGTCGTTCTAGTGATGATCAAATACTTGCTGAAACAACACCCATGACACGTAGATCACATCGTTCTCATAAATTAACGGCAGCAACAACAACAACAAACGGTTCCTATAATAATCATCGTCGTCAAGGCAAACATGATAGTATTGATATACATATGGAACGACAACCATCTGTTGATATACCTAGAAATTTAAATGATCCTCGAAATAGTGAAATGAAACATTTAAGACGAGAACGTCGTGCTGTTAAAACTTTAGGTGCGATAATGATTGCATTTTTAATATGTTGGCTTCCATTTTTTGTTCGATATTCAGCATGTGAACCAAATCGTTGTACTTGGATATATATGCCAATTATAGAAGATATTGTTTTTTGGGTTGGTTATTTTAATTCAATGATCAATCCGTAAGTTAAAATAAAATAAAATATTTTATCTAATTTTATTCATCTTAGATTTTTATATGCTTTTCATAATAAAGATTTTCGTAATGCTTTTCAAAAAACTCTTAGTCCATATATTGTTTGTTGTCGTCAACGACGTGCAAGTACTTGTAGTGCTATAGGATTAGGATTACCACCTTCAACATTTAGTGGAGAAATGCAAAAGACAAATTCAAATAAACAAAAAGCAAGAATTAAAAATATTAAAAAAAATTCAAAAACAAATAAAAATCAATATGAACTCACAAATATAAATAAATTTACTCAAGGAAAAAATGGACTTGAGACATCAAATGGAAATATAACTGGTGGCGACAATAGTACATCATCAAAACATATATCGATTCTTTAGAACAGGAAATTATGTGTCTTTTTTTTTTTTTACTCTTCGTTCGACGCGCACATCTATTTTTAGTTAAACTTGATGGGTGCAGTCACTTAAGAATAAAAAAAGGAATAACAAATACGGAAGCCTACTGTGATTTCTATTGTCGAATGTATTATTATTTTTTTTTCTTTTCTTTTTTCTTTTTTTCTGTATTGAACGTATTCATTTTTTGTTTCCTTTGTTTTTCTTCTCTCTGTGCTGAAACGATTTTTCTTTTCATATTCGATTGTCTTTGTATATGCTGAGTGTGTGATGCGATGTTTGTATGCCTCATCGCAATCCCGGTGAACGATAATCGTTTTTCATTGTCTTTTTTTTTTGTTTTTGTCTTACTATTTTTTTTCTTGTGAGAGTTTTTTTTTCGAATGTTACAGTAAAACAGAACAGAGAATGAGTACCGATAATTAAAAAGAAAATAAGAATCCTTCGAATACAAAAAAAAAAAAAAAAAAATTTGTTCTTTTTTTGTGATATAAAAAGAAAAATTTTTAGTTTAGTTTTGAATGCATCAAAATGCTTGAAAATATATTTTAAGAAACTTTTTGAAAAAAAAAAAGAATCCATAAATAATTTTATCGACACATATTTTTCGTATTTAAAGTGCTTAAATTTTTTAAGAGTATAGAGAAGCCGATAAGTTTTATTTTTCTTATTAGACAAATAAAAATTCCAGTCAATAATCAAAAGCAATCTCCGGAGTAAATGTCAACTAATTTTTTTTTTCTTTTCAGATTTTTATGTTCAATAATATGTTTTATTATTTCATTAAATTTTGTTCTAAGTTAATTAAAAACTACAATGAATCTTTAAAATCTAATCAAATTCAAAACAAAAAAAAATAACTAAAATACTTCATTATTATTACATTTTTAATTTTAGTAGACTATAAAAGTTCTACATTTTATAATAGGGATCAAATAAAAAATAAATAAGAAGTCAAATGAAGTCATAAATGTCAAGTTTATTATAGATAATTTTTTATCATAAAAAAAAAAAAACATATCTTTAAAATACCGTTTGTCTATGCGATATATTTAACTATTTAATAACAGTAAAACTAAGTACAGGTGTTAGATAAAAAAGAAAAGAACTTATTATTTCAGTTATAATCTCTTATTTCCGTTCTTTTTTTTTAATGTTAATTCCTTCATAGGATTATGAAGAAAAAAGAAGATGAACATCAGATTAATTCAAAAGATTTAGTTAAAAATAGCTTTATTTTACAAAGAGGTTTTTTTCGCCTATTTTTATCTCTATGCAATCCATTGAGTATTAGTTTTCTTAAACATTAAATTTTAAAAATGTTTTTCAAAATTGTATTAAAAAATTTCAATCATCTAAAAATAAAAATTTCTATGAAATTTTCAATCGATAAAGAAAATACAAGATATAATTTTTATGTTATCCTTTTTGAAAAGAAAAATAATTATTTGTTTTTTTACACCTAACATACATCTATCAACTGAGAAAAGAAATGATTTTTCTTCGATCAATTATAATGAGACCGATTTATCTATGTAAATATGAGTACTCATATAGGTATTCATTCTATTTTAAGAGTGAAATTAAAATATTGACTGATATACTCTTCATATAAACCAGTTCGTATAAGCCACAATTGAATTTTCTCAATCACAGTTATCAGATCTTGCTCAATTTAAGATATATTCTATAGAGAAGAATTTTATGAATTGTGTCAAATTTAAAAAAAAAAAGCATCGACAACTTTCAGCCATCACTATCACCGATTGATGCATTGGATAGTACATCTGATAATTTTGTTATTTGTTCTCTTCTGAAAAAAAAATGAGTGTTAGTTGATCTTGTTTTTTCTTGAATTAGTATTTTTTGGATCATCAAGATTAACATCGACATACCTCTGTATCAGACCATCGTACTCATAAATATTAGTAAAAAAAAATATTACTCGGTATTCAAATTGTATTTCTGCCAATATGGGAGTTGCTCTTCATCAATAATTATTTGTGACAAAATTGTCTACAATATTGATTATGTAGTCTCCAATATATAATCATATGTTCTCATTATCCTGTCTTTGTATATACTCTATCAATACAGTATAGTTTCATCTGAGATCATACACAGATTTATATTATTTCAATAGTCGAACATAAACTTTTGACCATATAACTGTCAATTACTTTTTTTGATTGATGTTATCAAACGTTGTATGATGAAGCATTATTCTGAGCATAATTGCTATCCATCATACTTGGAACTAGATCAGCAAACCGATATCAGGCTGATCGGTTTACTGATTACCAGACCGGTTGAACTTTTAAAATCGGCCGGGGTTTTTATTGAGTTTTAGGGTATTAAAGTTGATCTATTTTGCCCATTTTTGGCGATTTTCATGGTTCTAATAGATACGAAATATTAGCTTGAAAGTCTCCAACTAACAAATTTCTAGTCGTCATCAAAATAGCAGCTCTACATATTGAGCTAACACTTTCTACTTGTCGAATGAAAGTCTTGGATCATGTTGAATGGATTCATTATGCTCACGAGAAATTAGCCGGGTATTAGAAGTTGATTTCTGTCCAAACTAAAGATTTTCACCTCGAAACTTCGAGCTCACTTTTTTGAACTAATTTTAACTGACTCCCATACAATCCTAATAGCTTGTAGTTTTCAGCTCGTACTTTCATTACAAAGTATCAGAAAAGATTCCGTTCTATTGCCAAAGTCTTGCCAACTACTAGCACTATGACACTGTGAAAATATTTTAAATATTAAGAAACCTTAAAATAGAAAGTCTAATATAAAACCCGTTCGTTTTAGTTCATTTTATCTTTCAGTCAGCAATAGTATCCTTTTAAGAATTTAGATACATTTCAGTTACGTTAAGTAATTATTTCAAATAAGAATAGATCAAACTTATCAATTATAAAGAAATCCTATCATTTTTGAAAAAAAGCCAGGCAAAGCATAGTATAGACGTTGACCAATATTAGTTGCTGTGAGTTGCTAGATGAAACCTTTTGAAAGAAGTCTTCGTTAGTTCTTAATGTTAGCCTATATAAAACGTGACAGACTAAAATAGAAGTTGTCACTATTAGAAATTTCAAGATTTATTTGAGTTTTACATTGTATGTCTTCGTAGAACTGAAGTAGTGGACTGTTTCTCGAAAGAACTGATTAGTTAACTGATATATTAAAACGCATCGATTTTTTCTCTCGATTAAGTCAAGAGTTACAACCGACTAATCCAATCCGATCGAAGAAACGTTCGACAGGCTTCAAGTATGGTGTAGCCAAATAGATCATATGGTTAAAGAATACAAACATCTTATTAAGACGTGACGAAGTGGTGAAGAAAAAGAAATTAAAGTTGAGCCGAGGCGAGGAACAAAGAATTCTCTTCGTTTTAGTCTCTGGCTTGGACGACATACTTGTCCTAGTTTCAATCACGGTAATTTCTGTTTATTGTTGTTCCGATTGAGCGCCAGGATATAGGGACAGTGGTCTACCACATCTCTAAATTAGATATTCATAACACTAGATAGTAAAAAATAGCTTGTTAGCGCAGCTCCGTTGAGGCAGAAATGTGGAACTCACATATATTCTTTAGCTTCACTAAACTAATACAAAATACGTAAAGTGAAAAATCTCTGTAGACTTTTTACGAGCACTCTATTTTTTGTTTGCATTGTTGCTATTTACTCGTTATTTTTCATTTTCGTATTTTCCTTTTCTTAATTTAACTTTGTTGTCATTACAAATATTGAATTAAATGGCAAATAAGGTTGTTGTAAATATTCATTATATCTACAGCAGCAGATCTTAACGCACTATTATTATATATCTTGATAAACTCACAAAACACTGATATTGATTATTTTTAAAAGTTATAACTTGATCAATTCACGCTTATTATGTTGATCACTTTAAATTTTTATTTGTACAAAAATCAAAAACTGCACTATAATGAATTTTTCCAGTAGAAATCCTTCATCTATTTCTCTCTGAATAAGTAGAAATCAAAAATGAAATATAGTGTGAGATGAACCATTTCTGCATCAACGGAAACAACTTTTCCATCAATTGATCCAATTGTTCAATGTTGAATTAGGAACAATGAAATTCCATCTAATACATATACTATGTATGTATATTGATCACAAATAAATTATTCATTTTTGTCTTCTTATGCATATTTCACATAAGATCTATTGTTTTCTCATATTTGTAGATGACTATTAGAAGAATCAAAGTCAGCGAAATATTTTTCACCGTACAGTCCAAAGAATACAGTCGACTGCAGTTCGACATCAGACAGGCATGAACATAAAGTCAATTGATATAGTGACTAAATGGTATAATGAAACTTTTAGAAATATACTTATAGAAACTTTACCTGTGTAAAGATATGGTTTCTTACAATTATTTACGTTGTAGAATGAAGCTCATAGCTTTCGTATTGAATGTGTTGATTAGTTTAAAAATTTCATGGTTTACATATAGAATTCTTGCTAGCAAAAGAAACAAAATGGATCAATAGTTTTGCAGATACATTGAAAAAGTAAAATTTTATTCGAATACTTGAACATTTGTATGCTCGACATAAGCTGCAGCTTATTTCTGTCAGATCAAATTTTAATGATTGGTTTACAGAAAACACAAGTAAATATATTTTTTCTAACAAATGTTTGAAATGAATCGAGCAGATGGTATAATACTTCTTTACATTACGAATAAAAACTCATACTCGTTTAATCTAGTTTTTTCCTAAAAAATAATCAAACACAAAATTAGATTATTGTATCTAAACATATATTCAATGAGCAGATGATAATTAGTTTAAAAAACCATTATGATACAAACTGCCAATTTAACTATTGCTGGATTTGAAAGCATAAAGGTTTGAGAAACTCATTAAGAAATTTTTTTTATCTGATTTGAAATTTGAAAAAAGGAAATCAGTCTTAAAGTAACATAAATTTACAAATTTCAAAGAACTTCATTTTAAAAAATGTAATGGATTGAGACAAAAGTTCTGCATTTATTATTGTTTTGTTAAAAAGAGCAAGACGTCAAGTGTAAAAATAAATTACAAAATTTGATCGAAAATGTTATCTAAAAGGCTACAAAAGGTATGACGAAATTCTTTCGCAATTTTAGCCACAAATTTCCTTTCAAAATATGAGTTTATTTGATCTTTTTTATTATTAACTTTCAATGTTTTTCTGCATCACATATATACAACCATTCATTATTACGACAGGTTTCATGTGATTTTAATATTAATTGATTTAGCATACAATAAATTCAATTGCAAATGATTTTATTTAAAGATTTTAATTAGACATTTACAACGCGAAAACCATTTTTTGTCTGAATATTTCACAGAGAAGTTGTATTTTGTAAGTTTTTTTTTTGGTATAGAATTTACTTTTTCAATTGTGATCGTTAGTTATGAAAAGTCAATAATACAAAAAGATATAATAAAAGTATGCATATCAGCAGTTGCCAAGCATCTGGAATATTTCTTTTGGTGATACAGTGATAGTATAATCTGTCTTTCTGTTATAAAAATCAGAGAAAAAGAATAATAAGAAAACCTTTCTTATTTGATTAGATTTTTTTTTCCTCAAGTCAACAAATTTACTAGAGGGATTCCTGATAATTTTTATTCTAAGGTTTTTGTAGCCTTCAGTAAACCTTTTAGATTAAACTTTTTTTAACATAGATTTGCACTTAAAGTCTTGCTCTTTCTAAGAAAAAAAAAAGTAAAAATAACGCAGAACTTTTGCTTCATCCATGATTTAGAAATAATTAAGTATAGAAAATGACCTAATTATTTCATGACTATATTTGTCTTATATATGATCGTTGTTATTCGTACTAAATTTCTACTTGTTTCTTTTTTTTTATCCTTATTCTTTCTATCATAATCACAAACTTTTAAATTTTGCTTTCTTTATAAGAATGAGATTTTGATATTATTCTTTTGTTGTACATTAAGAATTATCACGATAATCAATATCATAATAACGGGTGGTGCAAAAGTTTTGGATTAATTTTGTTTTTGATATAACTCTGCGATGCATTGTCATAGAGACTTGATATTTTTTTTGTTAGAAAGAGCAAAGTGTCTAGTGCAAAAATACATAAAAGAATTTGATTGGAAATGTTTTTCGAAGATCAAAAAAATCTTAGAACAAAAGGTGCCGGAAAACTCTTTTGCAACTTTGGTGACATTTTGTTTATCCAAAAATATTTGTTTGACCTTTTTCATTACCCAGTTTCGACGCTTTCAAACACCATATATATACAGTTGTTGATTACAATGAAGCCTTTCTTTTAGTATTAAAATAATTAATATAGCATACAAGAGGATGAACAGAAGACAGTTTGGTTAGAAAAAGTTCATTGTAAAAATTTGGCTTTTCAACATGGACACAAATTTTTGTCTGAATATATCACAGAGAAGCTGCGTTCTATCAAAAATAATATGGTTTGGTAGAGAACTCAATAAGCTATCTTGTTTCTATAAAATACATAGATTCTGGCAACCTCTCTCTCAGAATAGAGTTTATTTTTTCGACAACTATCAACAATGATGAAAAATCGGTGACTCAGATGATCTCATAAAAGCGTTCATTTCACCCGTTATACAACATGTAGAGAATTTCTCTTTTTTGTACAGCAATAGTACTCTATCCTTAAATAATAAAATTTGGATTAGACGAATAACAAGATAACTTGTCTAAATTATATGAAATTTTTTCAAAGTTCAAAAAAGTTGCAGAAGCGTTTTTCGGCGTTCTTTGTTCTTAGATTTTTTTGATCTTCGAAAAACATTTCCAATCAAATTCTTTTATGTTTATTTGCACTAGACACTTTGCTCTTTCTAACAAAAAAAAAATATCAAGTCTCTATGACGTTGCATCGCAGGTTTATATCAAAAACAAAATTAATGCAAAACTTTTGCACCACCCGTTAATCACTATCTGACGAAATTGTTATTTCTGTGAAGATGCAGCTGTTTTTTTGAGATAAAATTTTAAAGAAAGATTAACGGTAATGGGTATAGATCTCCTTTTTACTGACATTCACACTTTCTTAAGTGGAAAACAAAGAGATCAATCAATATCATTGAGAAACAATAAACTGATGTGGTAAAAAGAAAGCACATAATTCAATGCAGTGATTTACACAAATTTTTGAAAAAATCTTTGATTCACTGTTTGAAGAAAAGATTATTACCTGCCACGAAATTCAACATTTATGGAAGCAATCTAAAGACAGAGTGTGTGGATGAAAAGAAGACCTACACTCACACACACAGACTCATATTCTCAATCATCGGTAATGTCTGCTGATGTTCATATGCGACTATATATCTACTTAAATGAAGCTTTACAAATGTCTTCTTTCATCGAACATATTTGTTAATAGATCGATATTAAATCCAATGGAATATATTCATTTGAACTTTCTGATTATCATATTTCAATGATGTATACAGGAAGCAGATAATAGATTAATGTATTATAAACATCTCGATCTTTTTTTGTTTTTGTTTATCCGATAACTATATGGCAGTCATTATTCGTTTATATCCTCAAGCTAGAAATTAAAACAAATTCAGTTATACGAATTCCATGTTTTTATGGATCAGATTAAAATAAATTTAAACTATTGAGGATACTTGTTTTTGGTAATTCTCTAAATTATAAAGATTTTTGAAAATCTCGATACTCTACTTCATTTCAATGTAAGCTGAATGAGGCTATTATTGATTATCGAATGCTAATATTCTTTGATTCATATACAACTATGTTTTGATAGTTTTTCTTGGAAAGTGTAGAAAACTTCATATTGATAATAAAAAAAGAAAATCAAATTATAAATGATTTTATTTATAATAGAATTCTAATAATTATTGTTTGAAAGTCTAAACATTTTCTGGTTGATTTACTTAATACATAAATTAGCGACCTCTATTTAAGCTCTACAAATACCATTGAAGAGGTTTATAGAGGATAAATCTTTCGTGATTTATTAAACAAATCAAAAATTATTGTCAACACCGTCATTTTTCCTGTGTTTGTTCAAATCCACTAGTCGTACTATTATTGGAAATTCTCTTTTTTAGATTCGTAATATATGATTTCTATTTGCTATTGACAAGAAAATAGTTCTGACTAATTTATCAAACGATTTTCACAATAATAATAAAGTAGATTTTTGAAAAACTAGATACAAAATAAAAAAACCAATTTATTTAATGTTACAGATAACTCTTACGTTGTTTTATTAAAAACAATTTATTATAGACAGATAAAGAATCTCAAATGGCGAATGAGAATTTTATATTATTTATTGTTTACTATTGAACAAGATCTGATTACGAAAGTATGAATAAAATATCAAATATGATTACATTGACTATATATATATAGTTGAATTTTTCTCTTTTGTTTTTAGTTTAGAAAAATGACGACTACTAGTCAAACTAGTGATAGCCTTTATTCAAAAGAATCTTTTACGAATGATTTCACAGAAATTGATGATTGGCTTGTTTTATTCAAGGTATATTTTACTTTTTGAATATCTCTCTTTGTAGGTACAATATGTCTTTATTAATAATCTAGCATGTCGAGATTCATTTCTCTTTATTTTATTCAGCATAAATAAGATGCTAATGAAGATAATATTTCTAAATTGAAATATGCTTCCTCTACTGTTATTAATGAATAGAATTGCGTGTTAGCAATCAAAAATTGTTTGAATATATATATATATATACACATATATGTGTCTGTGTGTGTGTGATTTATAATCTTTCTCGATTTTCTGCTTCTAGCAACATTACCAAAGAAACGTAAGAGAGGAACATCTTTTTTCTCTTTGCTCACTTTTCTCTTATGATGTGCATCTCTTTCTAGAAGATTGAAGAAAAATAAGTTCTTCAGTAAAGATGCGGAGGTGATTTTTTTTTTCCTTCTATTCATAGTCTTTTATCCTCTTTTTTTTTTTAAAATGAAAATCTTCTTATTAGTTTCATATCTTTTTTTTTTCTCCTTTAAGCAAAGATTTTCTTAAAACTTCGAACAGGATAGAAATATTCATAATAAATGATAAACCATTTACTTCTAATGTGTAATAATTTAACATTTTCTTTTTCTTTTTTTTGCTTGATTACACATCTTAACTTATATCTTCATACGGACAATTCGAAATTAATTATGTGAGAAATCTACATATACGTTCGTCATCCTCTTTCATTTATTAATTAATTTATTCATTCATATTTCAGGTAACATATGTCATACAAAAAAGAAAGTAGAAAAGAGATTGAGAATTCTTTCTTTTTTTTTTGTTTTATATTTAAGAAAAAAAAAAAGATTATCACTTGTCAGTCAAAAACATTAAATCTTAAACGAGAAAGACATGTCGACCAAGGCGACAAAGATTATACTCGCACACACATGGAGACTATTTCTGAGAAGTGATGTTAGCACAAAAAAAAAATAAAAGAAAATGAAAGAAAGATATTTGTTCGCACGACTAGGTTTCACCTTTTTTTTTTTCTTTCTTCTCTCTCTTTTCTCATCGTCTAGGTGTGTATATATGTCTGTGTTTGAATAAAGAAAACGCATCGGAAGTCGAAAGAAGAGAAAAAGAACCGGGGGGAAAGATGTGAGACTTATTCTTCTTTTTTTTTTGTCTTGGATAGGATGAGAAAGCATCGTCAACATTCAACTACAATTCAAAGCTAAATGCTGAAATTCACTTAGCTATCACTACAGACCCTTCAGAGGTATGTATCAATAAATAAATATATATATATATATATATTGTAATATAATATTTTTCTATATCTTTAGTATGCATCATCGCTTTGTGATCATCTCTTTACGCTTTATCGCGATGTGCAACATCGACCATTTGTACTTCAATTTCTTCCATCATTCGTCACAGCCTACTATGATATTCTTCATCATCCGAAGTCAGTTGATACTACTACTGAGGTAAAATGAGATAGAATATTACGACATTTGCTCATTACAATTGTATATGTATCTAATGACTGACTAACATATATATATTCTTTTCATTAATGTATGGAAGCAGAAGAAAAAAAGCAGGAAACCTCTTACGTAAATTGAGAGTGTAGAGAGAACAAGAGAAAAATATATATATATGAGATAGATAAAGATTGAGTGCAAATGTATGATGTAAATCTTTTGAGTAAGCAGGTGAACCCTTAAAAGATAATTTCTTTTTTCTTATTTATTTTCTCATTATATATTTAGAATAAATGTCAGCCTGAAGCATGATTCTTTCATCGAGCTTCTAATTTTAAATTTAATTAAAAATTTTAATAGAATCTATAATAATAGTTGTAGACTAAGAAGAATATGAAGATTCATTGTATAATGATGTTATGTTAAAAAGTTTTTTTTTTCTTTTTTTAATTTTATAATGAGAATAATATTGTAAAAAAAATGGAAATGATAAAGACAAGAAAGATAGCAACATAGTTAGTCAAATTTGAAGCATGTCAAACAAAGCTAATCTTGCTTTTTATCATCATTATGAATACATACATATAGACTAAATTCATAATGCGTATTTGCCGAGAGTCGACAGCATTATCATCATTGTTTCTCTTATTCCTTGACAGCATCCTACGGTGAATAATTAGACATCTATAGAAGAGATGAACACCTTTCTTTTTTTGTATCTTTCTTTCTCTTTCTCTCTATCGGCCTCTCTTACCGCTTCATTATCATTATTAAAAAAAAAAACAGAGAAAATAAGCACCTTGCTTGATTATACTTTTCTTTATCATTTGGTACATTTCATTTTTTTTTGCTTGTAGGATGTTTGGTCGACAATTGATACTTTTCTTGTCGCTCTCTATAATCTAGTAAGTTTATGCACCATATGTTTATCTAGTATAAACAAGACTTTGTCTAAACGGTAGTTAGCTATTGATAACAGTAGTCTTATACTAATCTGTATCAGTAGCTCTACTACTGAATAGCCAACATATGTCATTATCGACGATTTTTATAAATTAAATTTTTCGAATATAAATAATAAAAATATCTATATTCATTTATAGAGTGTCCTCGATGATGGACATAATGAAAAAATTCATGAATTTCGTAAGTTTATCAAAAGAAAAAAAACCAAGTCATAAAAGAATGAAAAAAAATAAATAAACTTTTTCTATCTTCTAGGTATTCCAAATCTGACTTCACCATCAATTTATCATACACCGAATCCTGTAAGTTTTTTGGTTGATTATGACAAAGATGACTAAACTTTTTATATGATTAAGATAATCTATTAGGATATTTTCAATAACAGTAAAAAATGATAATATTAATAAAAAAAAAAAAGAGAGAGAGAGAGAATTATCAAATTCGAAATTCAATTAAAAAAAAGATATCAATTCAACATAAAAATTAATTTAAAATAGTTAAAAGAAAAGAATTTATTTAATTTAGGATTATTATGCACCTACACCACTTACACAACATGCAATATCAAAACATGAAAAAAAACGTGAAGTTATTCGTTTACATTCATTTACTCCATTTGATTCAATCAATGCAACAACAAGGTATCTTTAATTATCTATTCATCGAAAATTTTTGTATCGAATATTTTCCAGTAGTTCAAATCTAATAATTAGTTACCAAGGGTTTGTTTTATAAAAAAAAAAGTATCTATCGATGGAAAAGAGGAAAATGATATACGGTTTTTTTTTGGGTGTTCTTTTGTTTTTAATTTTTATTATTTAGTGGCGCTACAACACGGAAAGGAGGATCAAGAAATCTCGATTATATGTTTGTAGATCACCTATATATGTGTGATTGTTTGAGAAAAAAAAAACTAACTTTGTTTTTGTTTTTAACTGACTGACTGATTTGAAAGAAAATCTTAAAATGAATTTTCAAAAAATATTTTCTTTTATATATTTAGAGAACAAATTGTTTGGCTTTTACTTATTCAATATGGTTCATATGTATCATATATGGATATATATTCTCGACGATCATATTTTGAAATGTCAAAAAAGTAGTATAAAAATAAATTCTTTTTATTCTTCTATTTAAATTATTTATAGATTACTTGGTCAAGGTTTTTCATTTGATGAAGATATTTCAAACAAAGAAAAAAATTCTATTTTACCACCTAATGGTCGTCGAATACGTCTATCAAGTCGAATATTATCAGAAATCTTAGGAACATTATTCTATTTTAAGTAATTATATAACAAACAAAACATCATCAAGAGCTTTTTTCTTTTTTTTTTTTTGTTAAATATTAATAATATTTTATTTTTAGAGCTAATTCATCAGATAAAGAAGCATTTGAATGTATGCGTTTATTAAGACAACGTGCTGAATATGAAATGTATGCTGATGTAATTTTAGTAAGTATTAATATATTATGTATGAATTTATTTATTTATTTTTTTTTTGTTTCTTAAGATGACAGAATCTATGAGTTATTTACATGAATTTGATAATCATCATTTTGAACAACAAGATCCAATGGGTATTGAAATTGAATTACCACCAACAATTGATATGGTTAAACAAAAACGTACAGCAACAACAACACGTTCAATTAAAAATCGACAACGTTCACATAAACATCATCATGAAATTCAACCAGGTAAAATAACAAAAAAAAAATTTTCAATTAATTTTTTTTATCGATATAAATTATTTAGATAAATGAAAAAGTTTTATGTTTATAAAAAAAAAAAAAAAAAAAAAAACTTCGAGAGAGAGAAAGAATATATTTGCTTATATGTTGTTCTATTTTGCTTTTGTTTTTTGTTATTTTCTTTAGCTATTATTGAGAATGATTTACCGAATGATACAATAGAACATTTAACTTTTGTCCCAGCACCAAGTGATGCAACACCAACAGCATTAATACCACCAATTAATCATACAAATAAATCATTATTTGAAATACTTGATGAAAATACACCAACAAGTGAATATCTACGTTCAACAAGTAGAAGAACATCAACAACATCATCATTAAATGAACACAATGAAAAAAAATCATTCGATGATAATCAAGATGTAACATCATCAATGTTAACTAATATATCATCATCAATTGGATTAGCAGCATCAAGTTCATCACCATCATCAATACGTCATTATAAACCATTATCATTAACATCAACACAAACATATTTTAAAACAATACAACAACAACAACAACAACAACGTGTATCATCACCAAATATACAAAATGTTCAAACTATAATACATGATAATATTGATAATGCTTCTATTCGACCACGTACATCAAGTATGAGACATGGAGAAAAAAAAGATGTTGTTGCTACAGTTCGATTTATGGGTACGGATCAAAATGGAACAAATGTTAAAGAAACATATTTGTAACAAAAAAAAATATCTTCTATATGCCTTTCTTTTTTCTTTGTTGTTTTGTTTTTTGTTTTTTGCTGATGAATAATATATATTTAATTTAATTAGTCAATGTTCGTACTGCTTTTTTCCCCCTGTGTGTTTTTTGTTTTGTGATATGCGAAAGTATAAAAAAACAAAAAATAAATTAATATTATTAGTATAAATTTATTGTTTATTTGAGTTTTATAAAAGATTTCTTCTTTTTTATAGTATATCAAAAGGAGAAAATGAAGAAATATGAAAATTTCCCCGACATATAGAATTTAGATTAATTAATAAACTTGAGTTTGAGGATCTAATTTGACATGTTTGTTTGACAATAAATTATAATCGTTTTCTTGGAAAAACTAATTTCATTTATTAATAACTAATTAAAAAAGGTTCATTAATAATCGTCTATTTTTTTGCTATAGGATTCTTTTCTTTTTTTTTTTTTATCCTCTTCAGTTATGAACTAAGGAATAATCGAGCAATATAAGTGCACTCAAATCAACCGTACTTGAAACATTCTCGGGATGTAAGGAAGCTACTTAACATGGTTTTAAAAAAAAAATCATGATTTTCTTCTATATGTTTACATTACTTTCTTAGTTAGTTATGAAATGATTATGTTGATATAAATAGATAGTATTTATACTTTACATAGTTTTGTTTTGATTGTTAACTAAAATAAAAATAACTTTATAGAACAAAATGTTTTTTTTTTTTGATATCGTTCTTGAAAAAAAAAAAAGTTTATTTAATATAGAAAATAAAAGATTTAATAGTAATTAGTATTTAATTTTATTACTATTGTAGATTATGTTTATTCTGAAAAGAAACAAGTGAATTGATACAATTAATAGTTTATGAATATTATTTACTTACATATAAATCTATGGATAATCGAATTTGGCTATTAATAAGAACTATGATTAAACTAAGATTATTCAATTATTTTTATTCAAATTCAGGTCAAGAGTTATATTTTATCTTTTTCTAAATATCGAATATTAATGCTAAAAAATTGATGAAATTATCAAGAATGTTTCGATCGAAGAAGAGATGATCCCTTTTCAAATACATATCTAGTGTAATTCCAGGCGTCACTTTTTTTCCTTGAGTTTACATCAGACGTTTAATCTTATACATTTAATTATTGTTAATAGTAGATAAAGCAGATTACTTTTCTTATGAAGAGTCAAAAAAGTATCTTTCATTAAATTTAATTGTTTACATGAGAATTTTTGTTGTAATATTGTCCTTATCATTTAATAGATTTAAATAAAGATAAAATTTATGTAATTGATTCTAAGACAGAAGTAAGTTGCTTTATTTATGGTTTTTCTCGTGGTTTATTATTTTCCTCGTAAATATTTTGTGTAATCAATAAATATATAATTTCATCACCTTGCATTACTTTAAGTAATCTACTTACTTCTTATCAAAATAGTTACCTGGCATTATTTAAGTAGTATGACAATATTAACTTGAAAATACACTCAGAATTTTTACAGATATGTAGATTATGTCTACTTATATCTCATATATATATATATATATATACATAATTGAAGTAATGCTAAAGGTTTGACAGTGACATTTTAAAAGATCTACTGTTTGAATCTACGCAGCATTCTATAGAGAACTAAAGATTTCGCTGAAGAAATATGAAACTTATACAATGATTTTGCATAAGAATTTTATTTTTCATTTTGATGTTTGACGTGTTTATTTCTGTTATAAGCAACGAATGGGGACGCATAAGACTGCAAATCGATTCACAAGAACTTTAGTATTCAATCAAATAAAATTATGCATAGAACGAAAGTACACGTATAGATGAACATTTTAATATTAAGTTAAGCATTCTACTGAGTTTAGAAGTCGCGACATCATCGACAAAAAGGTACTTAGTAGCACCAATCAGTTCATCACTACACGTTGATTTTTTTTGGATTGTAGATGAAGTTTAAACAATAATCAAACAGTGTTATAATGTAAATTTGTCAGTCGTTTGTAGATGCTTCAATCTTCTATAAGATTCACTTATTCAATTGTATTAATCTGTCTGTTGTATCAGCATAAATAGGTGCTACATGATATAACTCTGTAATACTGCTATCTCTTTTGAGATATCATCCTTTTTAGAATGGAATTAACCAATTTTTTTTTGTTTTTGGATACAGGTCATTTTATACTTCTTTTAAAATGCTACAAAATCGTATATTTTTCAAACTCAAAAGTATTGGTCATTTAAAAAATTCCTAAAGATTTCCTTGTCGAGACGCGATTTTGTGCCTGTTTAATCAGTATTTAGAAGATTTAGATTAGAAAAGTTTGATTGAGTCAAAACGTATATGAAATTCAGCATTCATATCAAAAACTTAATCGTCATTTGTCTAATTCATAAATATTCTTCAAGTTTTCTTTCATTGAAAAATCTATCCCTAATTCTCATCACAGTACAGCCAAAAAAAAAGGAATTTCATTAAGAAAAAGTCGTTTGGACACGATCGAAAAACTTTAAAAGTTGTTTAAAGTTATGAATATATAAAATGATAGATATCTCAATAACAAATGTAACATTATCATTGCATTCATTCTTTGATTAGATCGTGAGAAGTAGAATTAGACATAAATTTTTGACGAACGAAAACTTCAAGACTATTTGTGAATTATACAAATAGTAATTAAGTTTTTTCTACTGATACTAAATATCATATTAGTTTTGATTCAATTCAAACTTTTCTAAACGACATCCTCTAAATATTGATTACAAAGACACAACAACATCGTGTCTCGATAAGAATCGGTTTAGGTATTTTTTTTCTAATTTTAAGAATATATAATTTTGTAGTATTTTAAAAAGAAAATTATCTCGAAGATTGATAAACACTCCATCAACTAACCAGATGATTTCATATTATACCAGTTCATCAAGTAAAATACTGCAGGTAAAATGATAGTTCATTTAAAAATATCTGAAGTCTTTAAATAGAGCATTATTAAGCTCACACATTGGTATAATTCAATTATTGCCTACTCTTTATTTACGTTCTTGAAAAATCGACACCTATTAGGAAGATAACCAGCGATGACAGATACTTCTTTATGAATTATCATATAAGACGACGAAATTCAATAGTGAATCAATAAGTTTAGTGTTACGATGTTAGCGTATACTTGTAGTTTCATGTGATGTGTAATTTGAATCGATCGAGAATAAAGCTCGTAGTGAGCCAATTCAAAAGTTTTTACGCTCGCATGCTTTCAATATATTCAACTAATGAAAGACTCGAGTTTTGTTTAATAATGTTGTACGAAAACATATCTTATATTCAAGCCTCTTTAATTAAGCGGCTTTAGTTATAATTGAAAATGTAGATTTTCATCGAAAATAACAATTTTAACTCATGACACTTTTAAAAGGTATTGAATTTATTAGAATTATAATAAAAGTTGCAATTACAGATGTAGAAAATAGAATATCATCTAAACTTTTTCATATGTGTATTCAGCTCGTCATAATCGATAACATATGACAAATTAATGTCAGATTTTTTTTTCCTAAAATATATCAAAGTAAGAGAAATATATTTTTCCCTTTTCTCACTATGGAAATAGTTTTTTTTTTATCTCTTCAAACAACTCTGAACGTTGAATAATTCTATTATTTTTCTTTTCTCAAAAAGTCTAAATGATAAGTGTTCATTATATTTTAATATTTTTTTCTCAAATTTGTATGAGTAAGACATTTTTAAATATTTGATATTTAATAATAAAATTCTAACTTTCAAACAAATAATATCAGTGGCGTACGCAGAAATTTTCCAAGGGGAAGGGGGAGGGGGCAAGTCCTCAAGCAGGTGGTCCGTAATGGAGTTTTTCAAATATTTGTACCGTAGTACTTTTTTTATCCGTACTCTCCCACAATGAACTTTTCTTCAAGGGGGAGGCTTGGGTCCCCTCGCCCCCTCCTGCGTACGTCACTGAATAATATTCTCCTCCTCCTCCTCCTCCTCCTCCTAAAAATGTTAATAACATTGAATAATTTGAAATTAATATTTCTTCATTAAATATATAAAAAGAAAATATCAAAGATTATTTTTGTTTTTAAAAGTTAATTTATTAAAAATCACGTAAAAAAAACAATGATAAGAAACGATTGACAAGCTTAATACTTATTCATTTTATAAAGATTAAAATATTAAAAATATTTTCTTGAGGAAATATTTGCTCTTTTATTTCATTCATATAATATATCTTTTATAAAAATATTAATAAAACTAACATATTCTTTTTGTTGTCGATAATTATTAAATGAATTTTTTAGAAAAAAAAAACATATCATCGTAAGTTTTATTTTTCATTCAAATGATTTCGATTAAATTAAAATCTTTATTATTATATAAAATTCATATCTAAACATAAACTATTTTTCAATTGTTATTTGAATTTATTACAATCAAAATAAATATATTTTTAAACGTAACGTACACATAAATAATAGAAATTATTTAATTTTAGAAAGAGAAAAAATACATAAATATTGTGTCAAAGTACAGAAATATTTTTTGTTTATCTATTCGTATTAATAAAAGAAAACAAACGATTATAAATATTGTCAATAAATCATGTCTTTATTTAAAATGATATAAATATATTCATAGAATCTTCCTTGATGGAGTGCTTTTTTTTTCTTTCTTATTATTGTTTCGGTTCAGTGATTAAAAAAAACCACGTCTTTGACACAACACCTTTGTTATATAAAAATTTCAAGTATGTAATTGTGACGTTTTCTTTTCTAGATAAATATAAGAACCATATGATAATCAATACGAAATAGAAAGAAAAAAAAACATACTAATATGCAACCACTTGCAAAAAGCTTAAGTCAACCACGTAATCCAACGGAATCATTGACGAATGCACCGGCTTATAAATGTGGTTGGCTTTATAAAAGAGGTATGTTTAATGATTATTTTATAGATGAAAGTTTTTTTCTTTTTTTTTTTTGTTCTCAAAAATTTGAATTCATAGAAATAAGTTTCAGTTGATTTGAATTTTGTAATTTAGTTTGTTTAAGATTTATTATAAAAATTCAAAAGAAAAAACATATTATTTTAACAAACAAAAAAAAATCCAATTATATGCTTCATCAATTACTAACCTTGAAAACTCAAGAAAAAGGTGTTATTATATAAGAGAAAGAAGTTAGATCGAATAACAATGGGGTTTTTTTTCCAAGAATATGGATTCATGATTTTGCTATAGTTATTAACAGGAATCACAGTAGTGTTTTTCTTCTATTAATAAATAAAAAAAAAACACCAGTAAAATCCTTGAGACGAACGAGGTCATCTTCATTTAGTACCTAATAAACTTAACTTCCTACAAAAAGCTATGCATTTGCTATCGAAATCTTCAATTATTTTAGTTCAAATTAATTTGATCTAAACTATCATTTATTTAACAAAATAAAATTTATATTAAATAATTCCTTTGATTAATTTTTATTTTAGGTGAACATATAAAAACTTGGCGTCCACGTTATTTTATTCTTCGTCATGATGGTAACTTATATGGTTATCGCAAGCCACCAGTTTTAAATGATACACAACAAGAAGAACCGCTTAATAATTTTCAAGTTATTGATTGTAGTGTTGTACGTCAAGATAAAATTAAACAAAATGCATTTGTTATACAATTTAATCAAATGAAAATAGAACGATTATTTGCTGCTAGTAGTCAACAAGATCGGTACTTAATAAAAATGAAAAAGAATTTTTCTTTTTTAAATAAATTAGATTTTGAGTTTTTTTGTTTTGTTTCTTTAGTGAAGAATGGATAACAGCTATTGAAATAATTAATCGACAAACAACACCACATTTACAACAACAACAACAACAACCACAAACACCAACTACTAATACTAAAATGGTGACGAATGATGATGCTGATAATACAGAAAATGAATATCCTTTAATGGACGAAGTATTTGCACGAAGACCAGTATGAAAAAACAAAATGATTTGTTTTTGTTTTTTTTTAAAATTATTTTCTTCTCTTGTAGCAAATAAATGATTTTGAATATTTAAAAATTCTTGGTCGTGGTACATTTGGAAAAGTTGTTTTATGTCGAGAAAGAACAACACAACGAATATTTGCTATGAAAATGTTACGAAAAAGTCTTGTTATAACAAATGTATAAAAAAAGAAAATAAACAATTTGTTTTATTTGTCTTTTTAATTTTCTTTTTCATTTAGAATGAAATTGTACATACAATGGATGAAAATAAAATTCTTCGACGAATTCGACATCCATTTATTACGGTAAATTTATTAATTTTTGTTTCTATTGAATTAAATTTTTTTTTTTTTTTAAATAGAATTTAATTTGTGCATTCACAACAAGTGATCGTCTTTGTCTTGTTATGGAATGTGTTAATGGTGGTGAACTTTTTTTTCATTTAAATCATGAAAAACGTTTTTCAGAAGAACGTACAAGATTTTATATAGCTGAAATAGCTTGTGTTATTGGATATTTACATAAAAGAAAAGTAATTTATCGTGATGTTAAAGTAAGAAAAAATGAAATATCATTTTTTTTCTTTTATCTAATATATTATTTTTTTAAATTAGTTGGAAAATATTTTACTCGATCGTTTTGGTCATATTAAATTAGTTGATTTTGGTTTATGTAAAACTAATGTACCATTTGGAGAAACAACAGTTACTTTTTGTGGTACACCACAATATATTGCACCAGAGGTATGGCACAGAAAAAAAAAAGAAGAAATTAATTTTAATATAAAGAATTAAATATGATTGTCAATCCTTGAAATGTTATATAATCTTTCGAAAGCAAATACTTGTTAGTTTATGTTAGACTAATAGCTGCTGATCTTTGTTTGTAACGAGTTAGACTAAATATATTCTGCTAATAGAAAATCTTTTATAGTTTAAAAGTAGAAAGCTGTTTCGATCTGCAATCGTATATCAATGTCTGTGAGGAAGGAAGAAGATAGATTGAAAAGCTTAGCTATTTACTTCAAGGCTCCTTTTAGGTTATATTCTGAAAAGTAAATTTTTTTTTTGGTGACACATTAATTAACACAATGATATTAGAAACTCGAGAAACATTCGCAGAATAAAATTGTAATGTGTCTATAGATTCTTGCAAATAATATTTAATTTAAATTTTTTGTTAATTTGTCAAAAAAGAAAGTCTTTTATTGATGAGTTCATATTAAAATCATGAAAATTTTTATACGAATATTTTTCTCACATCATTTCATTTTATACAAATTTGCTACGAGTAAATTATATACAATTCAAAAGAACTATGAATTTCTTATCAATTGATAAAAATAAAATTATTATTGCTTGATATATTTTACTGAAGAAATTTGTCTTGTCACTTTGTGGAACAAATCTGAACTTATTTTATCAATGTTTCTCTATCCAGATAAAAATTATTCATATATAGTCTAACTGATCAAAAAAAAAAAATTTTTGTTTCTAAAGCGTTTATTTTGCTAAGATATAAGGACTGACATCAGATACTATTATTATTGATTCTAGTTCCCCATATGAAAAAACTTTATTCTACAAGTATAAAAGCTCACAATGAATATCACCATTTTAAGTCTAAATATTTTTGATAAGATAATTGAAGACCTATAATTAGACAGCATTAGAATTGAATAGCAATCAATTAATTAATAAATATCTTTTACTTTTATTTACAAAACAAAAAAAAAAAAACAAAAGATTCTTCGAATGACATCCTATACAAATGCAATCGATTGGTGGGGTGTAGGTGTTGTAATGTATGAATGTCTTGTTGGTCGATTACCATTTGCTGA